CGAGGATGTAGAACGGCGGCAGAGAGGTGTCGGTGCGTAGAAACAGCGACGAGTCGGCAGTAGAAGGAGCAAACCCAAGGGCCGCAAGTGTAGTCCTCAGTGTGTCGTGCCACTCACGGGGCGCCTGCCGGAGACCGTGGACTGGCCGCCGGAGGCTCCACTGGGTACCAGCAGGAAACGACCCAGTGAAGCCAGGTGGGCGGCGCAGCCAGATCTCCTCGTGCAGGCTGCCCTGTAGGAAAGCAGTGCTGAAGTCAAGAGAGTGAAGCTCGTAGTCGCGCTGAGCGGCTTTGTGCAGCAGCACCTGAAGAGTGGTCATCTTCGGGGTGGGAGAGAAGGTCTGAAAGTAGTCCACTCCCTGCCGTTGACTGAAGCCTCGAGCCACGTAACGCGCCTTGAAGACAGGCGGAGAACCCGTCGGCCGCTTCACCCTGAAAATCCACATGCCACTGACGATGTTCGCCCTAGGTGGGGGAACCTCGTCGGCGTAGGTGCCTGTGGACTTCCAAGAAGCCATCTCTGCGTCCATGGCTGACTGCCACTGAGAGGAGTAGGGACCCTCTATCGTGTCTACGTACGAGCGCGGAGTCGGGATGTGTGGTGCATCCGGGTCTCCCTCAGGGGCTAGCAACATGGACACGAGATGAGGTCAAGCAGTAGCAAAATAGTGGAACTCCTCCTGCCTGTCCTCAAGGACGTCCGTGCTAAGAGCATACTCACCCCCGACGGACGAAGGACATACAGACTCAGACTCAGCAACAAGACGAGCGGGGTAGTCTAGACGACAGTGAGCAGCGAAGTCGACAAGCTCAGCTACTAAGGCAAATGCAGCAGTGGACTCAAAGGAAGGGTCAGTGACAAAAGTAGCCAGGAGACTCGTGACAGTAGGACGGGCAGCACGAAGGGAGTCAGATTCCGGGTCAGTAAGAGTAGGAAGAGAGGACGCAGGAGGAGACGGCAGAGGGACACGCTGCGGAGCAGTGGAAGGACGTAGTGCCATCTGGTGCGTGCCCGGGACAGCACGAGGACGCTGACGCGGAACACGACGACCAGTGCGAGTGGCACGAACAGGTAACGCAGGACGCGACTCAGGCTCACGACGCTCAGCAAGACCCCCGGTAGGACCAGTGTAAGGAGAGGGAGCAGGCAACGACTGGAACTGTGACTGGAAAGTCGGTGGACACTTTAAGGAAGGAGCACGACCAGTAGAAGGTGGGCGACCAAGTTCCTGCTCAAGGAGTGGAATGAAGTATGGCCGCGGCCGCGCAGAGCCTCCAGAAACAACAGGGACAGCACCAGCACCCCCAGCGTCAGCTCCAACTCCAGCAGTACTACCAGCTCCACCAGGACCTCCAGCAGCGCCAGCAGCATCAACTCTAGTACCCCCAGAAGCACCGGCTCCAGCAGCACCTCCAACACCAGCACCTCCAAACGCTCCTGTTCGAGCAGGACCTCCAGCTCCAGACCCTCCAGCAGCACTAGCACCAGCGGCACCACTAGGCCCAGCAGCTCCAGTACCTCCAGTACGAGCACCTCGAGGACTAGAGGCTCTAGAACCCCCAGCAGCTCCAGCAGCACGGCTCTAGCGGCGAGCTAACCACTCGCGCAGTTGCCGCGGAGAGAGTGGCTCCCGCCGGGACAAAACACCCGAAGAACCTCTAGGCACAGCACCTCCAGACGCCACCCGCCCAGGCACAGCACCCCCAGTCGGAGCACCCCCAGGCTCAGCACCCGCAGTCGCAGCAGCCTCATGCTCAGCACCCCCAGGCTCAGCACCCCTAGACTCAGCACCCCGAGGCTCAGCACCCCCAGACTCAGCACGAGAGTCAACAACTACTTCGACGGGCTCGACTGCGTCTGCCTGGGACACACCTGAGGGGGCACGACCCTGAGGGGGGAGGGGGTCTACCAGGGGAGGACCTGGCGCGAGGAAGAGCGGCGGGGGGGGGGAGGGGGGCAGCGCGGTAGGGGAAGAGATGGTAGAAAGGAACCGACTCGTCAAACGTGACGTCCTGAGAGGGCAGAACATGGCGCAAGGTGGGGTGGTAAAACTGCCGACCAGGCACGTTAGGGGGGAAGCCAAGGAAGACGCAGGGAACAGCACGGGAGGACAGCTTGTCCGCAGACAAGTCGCAGACGAAAGCTCAAGTTCCCCAAACACAGAACGCAGACGCATCGCTAACCTTCCCTGTCCACCGCAGAGTAGGTGTGGTCTCCGGCACAGAGACTCAGGGCTTGAGGTTGATCTGATGCGCAGCGCAATAAACTGCGAACGGCCACAGAAAATGGGGAGCAGTCGCATGGATCATGGACGTACGAGCGACGTCCATGACCATGTCAATGCGGCGCTCAGCAATCCCATTTTGCTGTGGAGAGGCCGGAAGCGTGAACGTCTGGCGGATGCCCTCCGCACTATAGAGGGCTCCCTGAAGGTCAGAGGAGAATTCACCACCTCTGTCCGAGTGCAGACACAGGACAGGAAGGTCTGAGCCAAAACTCTCTCGAAGCTGACGACAAGCAGCGCGGATCCAGTCGATCAACACCTCAGTGACCTCACCCTTGCGACGCAAGAGGAAGACTGTGGTGTAACGCGAGTAGTCTTCAACGACCAGCAGAAAGTAGCACTCGTGACCCTGGCCACGAACGCGGGCTGGGCCCCACACGTCCATGTGCAGAGTCTGCAGGGGAGCCTCCGTCGGAGGGAACTCGGAGGAGTGAGGTGCGGCGCGCTGCCTGTTACGAAACGAACTTAGTCTAGGAACCGGGGTTTACTAAGGGCCTAGGCTTAGTAGCCTAGGCCAAGCGGGTGTCGAGGTGGTTTTACCAAGGAGGATTGAGAATGGAATGTTTCACTATAGGTTTGCAAGAACATATAGCAAAAGAACATAGAGAAGGTGCACCACCAATGTAAGAAGGCATAACTACACTAAAGCTAATGCTACAGGTAGTTATAAACATACATATAATATATGTATCACGACACACCCCCTTATCTGCCTGCAGCACATAACTCGAGCAAGTCACACCCCCGGAACCTGGGCAGGAGGTAGGAGAAGCAGATGAAATAGCAACATAGATCAACCATGACAATTGCAACAACGGCAGGTGCAGGACCCGAGAGGTGGGCGTGAGAGCAAGCGCCGTGGCTGCAACGAGCAGCTGGACAGCGCAGCTCAGCATCTCCAGGGGCGTGCCTACTACAGGCAGCAGGTGCAGTGATGGCAGATAGGGCCACAGTGACCTCAGCCATGGCAGATGCAGCAGCGACAGGTGCAGGACCCGGCAGGTGGGCGTGAGAGCAGGCGCTGTGGCTGCAACGAGCAGCTGGATAGCACCGATCAGCATCTCCGGGGGCGTGCCTGCTACAGGCTGGCGACTGCAAATGCCCGACTTACTTCTTCCACCCCCTTACCCGCCCACTCAACCCCTCTGGTGCTGGCGGCTAGCGCTGGTGCTGGTTCCTGGTGCTGGCGGGGTTCTCTGCTGGCGAGGTTCTCTGTTGGCGGGGTTCTCTACTGGCGGGGTTCTCTGCAGGCGGGGTTCTCTGCAGGCGAGGTTCTCTCTTGGCGGGGTTCTCTGCTGGTGGGGTTCTCTGCTGGAGGGGTTCTCTGCTGGCGAGGTTCTCTGCTGGCAAGGTTCTCTGCTGGCGCGGTTCTCTGCTGGTGGGATTCTCTGCTGGCAGGGTTCTCTGCTGGCGGGGTTCTTTGCTGGCGGGGTTCCTTGCTGGTGGCTGGCCCTGGAGCTGGTGCTGGTGCTGGCGGCTGGCCCTGGAGCTGGTGCTGGTGCTGGCGGCTGGCCCTGAAGCTGGTGCTGGTGCTAGCGGCTGGCCCTGCAGCTGGTGCTGGTGCTGGCGGCTGGCCCTGCAGCTGGTGCTGGTGCTGGCAGCTGGCCCTGCAGCTGGTGCTATCGCTTGTGACTGGCGTCGGTGCTGGTGCTGGTGCTGGCGGCTGGCGGGTCCAATGGCAGGTGATGCGCGCTGGGCGGGACGGGGGTCTCTGCTGGCGGTGACGCTGCTGGTGGGGTCTCTGCTGGCGGGGTCTCTGCTGGCGGGGTCTCTGCTGGCGGTGTAGCTGGTGGTGGTCCCGCCATGCCCTTCCCGCGCTTCCCTCTCCCCCACAGCGTTCGGCCGCCACTCCCTGCCCTTCTTCCCTCACCCCCTCCACAGCGACCGCTGCTGCACACGAGAACAACCACGATGGGGGGGGGGGGGGGTGACGGGCAAGGGGCGGGGGTAATGCGATGGGCAGAGCAACGGCGGGATAAGGAGCGGTTGGGGCGACGGGAAGCAGGGCGACGGGCGACGTTGTGCGGACAGGTGGCGGGAATCTGGCGATGGGCGGCACGGATCTGGTGATAGACGGCAGCGCGACGGGATGGGCGACAGACTGCAACAGCGGAAATTTCGCGGGTGGCGGGCTGCAGTAGCGGGTAGTGCACGGGGTCGACGGGGGCGAGAGCGACGGCGCAAAACAGCGGGTCAACGAGCGCCGTCACTCCCGCCGCGACCGTTGCGTCTGTCACGACAGCCGTGACAGATTTTGCTATGGGCGAGCGACGGGGAGGGACGGACGGAGCCGCGATTTGCTGCTTGACGGGATGCGCCATCACGATAACTTGCGGTGGGCCCTTAAGAAAATAGGTCGGGAACGACCTAGCTCAATACCATGTTACGATACGAACTTAGTCTAGGAACCGGGGTTTACTAAGGGCCTAGGCTTAGTAGCCTAAGCCAAGCGGTACCAAGGAGGATTGAGAATGGAATGTTTCACTATAGGTTTGCAAGAACATATAGCAAAAGAACATAGAGAAGGTGCACCACCAATGTAAGAAGGCATAACTGCACTAAAGCTAATGCTACAGGCAGTTATAAACATACATATAAAATATGTATCGCGACACTGCCACCCTTCGACGCAGGGAACACAGGTAGGGGCAGGCCCCGGAGGGAGGGGAGGGAGTGACCGGGGCAGACCAGTGACAAGGACACGAGAGGCCATGCCTCAAAGACGAGGCAGGGAGGGGTGACCAAGGCGGTGGTGCCAGAGGAGTGTCTGGTGCGACAGGAGGCGACACGAGCAGGGGGCAGACTCAAGACCAGACCAGGACGCTACAGCAAACACCTGACCCGACGCAGCTACCTGAGCAAACGCAGCAACCGGGGGAGGCACAGTAGACAGGGTGTACGGGCTCGACCCAGGCTAAAGGGCGAACGTGGCTAGGTGTCGGCCTGTCCGAGTACACGAACAGTGGGTCACCCTCTGATCGCCTGGAGTGAACTGGTCAACCCACGCATCCTGAAGGTCAGCTCCACTCACCAAGTTCGTGGAGAACGAGGGGAGGTGGAGGCCCGACAGAGAGCCAGAGGGGACCGTCGGACACGGCAGGACCGTGGAGGAGTGAGCAAGGACCGGACCCCCAGAGGGGTCAGCCAGGGAGACTGCCACTGGCCGACTGAGCGGCGTGAGAGTGGTGCAGTCGCGAAAGAAGGAGCGGGAAGCGCCCGAGTCAAGGGTGAAGGTGTGCAGGACCTGACCCGACTCGGTACCTGAGAGAGCAGACTCACCAACACCTAGAGCAGCAGACGCACGAGCACCTGGAGCAGTAGACTCACTAGCGCCTAGAGCAGCAGCCCCAATGCCCGGGTCGTGCGGAACACACAGGTAATAGTCACCCTCAGCACTAATAGACACAACATACATAGCAGCAAGGATAGCATCAAAGTCAAGATCAAAGATAACAACACCCGACTTGAGCAGATCACCCAAGCGAGGGATCTCAGAGGAGTCAGGGAACTGGGCATGCCAGGCGTCAGTCAGGCGGCCGAAGCAGCGCTGGGTGACGTGCGGGCCGCCACACGTCTCACCAATGCAGTTGCCGGTACGCAGGACGAAGGCACAGGGACCAGCTCCCGCAGACCGCTGGCGCCCAGCGTACCACTCACGAAGCTGCTGGGGCAACGGGATCTCATGAGAACGCTGCTGCTGCTGGCGCTGGCCACCACCAAAGCGTGCACGCTGCACAGCGCCACCAAGACCAGTCCCACCGCCGTCGCCGCCGCCACCGCCGCCGCCACCGCCGTCGCCACCACCGCCGCCTCCACCCCCACCGCCACTACCGCCGCCGCCTCCACCTCCACTACCGCCACCGAAGCCCCCACCCCCGCCACCACTCCCACCTCCACCCCCACCCCCGCCACCACTCCCACCTCCACCCCCACCCCCTCCACCGCCTCCACCGCCATCACCGCCGCCCCCGCCATCTCCTTCAGCACCCTTGCCCCCCTTGCCCTTGTTGATGCGGCGCCTCCCACTAGGAGCAGACGCAGCGCCGACCGACTCGGTGCCAACGAGGTCGACAACAGCAGTAGAGGCAACAGAGGGCAACAGGGGGACAGGGGAAAACCCCTCAAAGAAAGGGGTACGGGGGATACCACGAGAGGCTCCTACAGCGGTAATACTCTTCTCGGCTGCAAGAAGGCGCTCCTCGAGGAGGTCAACGGTGAGTGTGGTGGGGCAAAGAGAGAGGAAGTGGTCCCTGACGGAGCGAAGGGTGTCAGGGAGCCGGGTGACTAGGTAGTAGAGGGTGATGTACATGGGGGGGGGGGGGGGGTAGTGGCGCAGAACTCAGTAGGAAGCACAGCGCGGTAGCGGGTGTCACTAGTGCGGAGGCGCGTAATGAGGTCAGCGATTGAGGCAAAAGCGGCGAGGTCAGGGAACAGGTACGGCAGCATGAGGCGGCTAAGGGCAGCAATGGCAGGGGAGGAGTAGCGTGCAACTACAGCGTCGTACAGGGTCTTAGCACTCTTGTACTAACTAAAGTGCGCGAGCTCAGAGGACGGCAGGTGACTACGCACAGCAAGGCGGGCAGCAGCATCGCGTGTGGTCCACTGTGAGCGAACAGTACTGTCAGCATCGGCAGCAGGGGCAGCAGAGGCGCCAGACGTGAGATCGATCAGTGAGATATCGTCCTTGTTATCGCACCGCAGGAAAAGCTGCAGATCATCGACCCAGACCTCAAAATCGACTGCTCGACCCTCAGTATCGAAGGAAAGCACATTGGGACTGGCCATGACAGCAGCAGCGGCAGGCTAGCAGCAGCAGCGGCAGTGCAACTCGGCTAAACGGCGCAGCTCGGTAGGGCGGCGACGCGCTTACCAGGGGAAGGTGGGTAGGGTGGCCACCACTGGAGGGGCAGGGCCGTGGTGCGCCGGCAGGGTCGGGGCCGCAACTAGGCGGTAGAGCAGGGCCGCGGCTCGGCTGCAGGGCAGGGCCGGGGCAGCAGTGACGGCAGCGGCGGTGGCGGCTCGCCACACCGGCGGCGGTAGGCTCGGTGGCGGCGGCAGGGACAACAGCTGCTGCAGGGCTCCCGGCGGCTACTGTATTTGGAGGCCGCGACCGGCGAGAGGGGCAGGGCGGGGCCGCAACGGCGGGTCGACGCCCAAGGCAGGGCGAGCCGTGACGGGCGTCGGGGCCGCGACAGGCGACGGGGCGGGGCCGGGGCGAGGCCGCGACGGGGCCGTGAAGGGGGGGGGGGGCGCGAAGGGGTCGCGACGGGGCCGGGGCGGGGCCGCGAATGGGCCGGGAAGGGGCCGTGAAGGGGCTGCGACGGGGCCGCGGCGGGGCCGCAAAGGGGGGGGGGGGGGCGCGAAGGGGGCCGCGAAGGGGCCGGGGCGGGGCCGCGAAGGGGTCGCAACGGGGCCGCGAAGGGGCCGCGAATGGGCCGCGAAGGGCCGTGACGGGCAGTAGGAGCAGGACAGGGCCGCAACAGCGGCAGCAGGGCAGAGCGCGAAACGCGCTTCGAGCAGGGCAGGAAAAAAAAACTTATCGAAGTGGTGGGCCCTAGGAAAAAACGGTCCCACTAGGGAACCCGCTCTATACTATGTGAAGAAATGAGGAATGAGAATGAACTAGGAAAGTGTTGGGTACAACTATGAAACCCTAGAAACCTGTACCCCTTAGTGTCTACCCCACTATAGCCTACAAAGGCTAAGTCATATATATCTGACACACTTCTGTCGTCTGTTTCATCACTTGTTACCACTGTCGCTAGCTTTGCCTCTTCCCACTGCCTTGACTACGCCGCTCACTTGGTGAGTGGCCCTGCTCGTTCTCCGCTGTTCCTCATCTTTGTGCCATGCTACTTGCTCCTGAGAGGGATCCATACGCCCTTGACATCCCGATCCCTCGCACTCACGCCGAGGCGGTCTCGGGACCCTAGGCTTCGTATTGGATAGCAGCTGAGGAGGTAGAGATGGCATCTTATAGGTCCACAGGTACTTACGTCAACGCAGTCCCACCACCTAGGACGAATGTCGTCAGTGGCCGATGGCTCTACAAGGTGAAGCGGCCGCCTTGATCACCACCTGTGTTCAAGGCGCGCTATGTGGCGAGAGGCTTCAGTCAGCGAGAGGAGGTGGACTTCTTCCAGACCTTCGCTCCCACCCCGAAGATGAGTACCCTTCGGGTGTTGCTGCATATTGCAGCCCAGCGCGACTACGAGTTGCACTCCTTGGACTTTTCCACCGCGTTCCTTCAGGGGAGCCTGCACGAGCAGATCTGGCTGCGTCGCCCGCCTGGCTTCACTGGCTCTTTCCCACTTGGGACCCAGTGGCAGCTGCGTCGACCAGTCTACGGCCTGCATTAGGCTCCACGTGAGTGGCACGACACACTTCGCTCGACCCTTGCAGCTCTTGACTTCGTTCGTCGTGGCTCGACCCCGTTCTTTGTCCTGGTCTACGTCGACGACCTGGTGTTTGCCACTCCCGACCGGCGCGCGCTGGCCTCCGTGAAGGAGGAACTGCAGAGGAGACACACATGCACTGACCTTGGTGAGCTGCATCACTACCTTGGCCTGCAGATCACCAGGGACAGGGCAGCTCGCACCATTACGCTGACTCAGTCGCATATGGTCGAGCAGATCCTTGTGAAGATAAGCACTAGAAGGCGCCATAGCTAGGAAAGCCCTAGCTAGGCAAGAAACAGTTTAGGCAAAGAGGATGTTCACTAGCAGGAATGAGGATACAAATAGCAAACCCTAGAAGGGTTGTACTCGCTATAGAGCACCCCACTACAGGCTAGAGCATAACATTGTGACACACCCCCATAGCCAAAGTGGGGTGTAATCAGTAGAGCAAGCAAAGCAGAACTAGCTCAGGGTGGATCATAATGTCACCACACATTCTGAGCTCAAGTTCAAGAAGCAACAGTTTAAAGTTCACAAATGTAAGCAAAGCTAGAGGCTATCGCAGAGGGCAAGTGAGGAGGAGGAGGCGAGACTGTAAGAGGAGAGGAGATAGGAGGCGACGACTGAAGCTGCAGACACACGGGCAACAGGAGGCACACTGGCACAGCGGCTACCGGAACAGCGCTCCGGACTACTGGAGTAACTTGCCCCGCGGCTAAAAGTAGCGGCAGACAAGCAACGGACCCACGGGCGACTGGCACAGATGGCTGCGACTGGGCTACCGGAGCAACTCATGTGACCCTTGCTTGCTCTAAGACTGTGTGTGTCCTTGAGACCCACCTTGAGATATGTGTTGTTTTTCCACAGGATTATGGCCACCTAGACTATGGGGGTGTGTCAACATACATTCTATATGTGTTGTGTAGGTTAGTCTAGGTGTTACATCTCTACTTCCTTGCATGATTATGGTTTGCTATATCTAGGGCTGTACTTCAAATTTTCTATCAATTCATTCTTATCGTAACAGCTGGTGCTGGAGGTGCAAGTGGTACTGGCACGGTCGATCCCGGAGGTGCTCGTCCTGGAGGTGCTAGAGCTGCCCGAGCTGGAGGCGCTGCGGGCTCTGGAGCTAGAGGTGCTGGAGCTGGAGGATTTGGAGCTGCTAGTTTGGGAGGTGCTAGTACTGGAGGTACTGGTGCTGCCGGAGCTGGTGGTGCTGCTGGTGCTGGAGGTGCTGGTGGTAGTACACATCAGCGACTGTTCTTCGCTCCGCCGTCACCGTCGTCTCTGCCGCCGCCTGACTCGGCGCTTCGCCAGGTTCTTAGCCTCCCGTTTTCTACTGGTCTCCCGTTATAGCCAGGCTCCCACCCCTTGCTCCCTCTCCTTACACTGAGCAGACAGGAGGTCTTACTAAGAGTCGTGAACCTGCGTCTCGTCCTGCCTTGCCTGTTTGCGCTGGTCGCACTGGTCGTCGTGTTCCTCGACAACGTCCTCCTCCTATTCCCGGCACGCACACTATGGCACTTCATCCTTCCTTTGTTCCATAGCGCATTTCCCTGCCGTCTCCTCCTGTGTCCTCTCTTCCGCACGTTCCGGACCCTGAGTCTGACCTGGTTTGTGCTACCAGTCCTACTGAGTATGGCCTCTGTTGTCACTTACCCTTCGTTTGAGTCTACTACTGCGTCTGCCTTAGTTGCTGAGATTTTTGACTTTGCTGTTGTTTGTTGTCTCGACTACGCCGCTAGTCGTATTGCTGAGTCTGAGTTTGTTTTTCCTTTGTTAGTCGGGGGTGAGTGTGCTCTTAGCACGGACGTCCTTGAGGACAGGCAGGAGGACTTTGAGTGTTTTGCAGCCCCTGCACCTCATCTCGTGGCCATGCTGCTTGCCCCTGAGGGAGACCCGGATGCACCAGACATTGCGACCTCGTGCTCTTACGCTGAGGCGATCACGGGTGAGTACTCCTCTCAGTGGCAGATAGCTATGGACGCAGAGATGGCATCCTGAAAATCCACAGGCACCTACGTCGACGCAGTTCCCCCTCATTGGGTGAACGTAGTTGACGGCATGTGGATTTTCAGGGTGAAGCGGCCGCCGGGTTCTCCGCCTGTCTTCAAGGCTCGTTACGTTGCACGAGAATTCAGTCTGCGACACGTAGTTGACTTCTTCCAGAGCTTCTCTCCTACCCCGAAAATGACCACTCTTCGGGTGCTGCTGCACGTTGCCACTCAGCGTGACTACGAGCTTCACTCTCTTGACTTCAGCACATCTTTCTTGCAAGGCAGCCTGCACGAGGAGATCTGGCAGCGCCGCCCACCTGGCTTCACTGGGTCGTTTCCTGCAGGTACCCAGTGGAGCCTCCGACAGGCAGTCTACAGTCTCCGCCAGGTGCCTCGTGAGTGGCACGACACATTGAGGACGACACTTGTGGCACTTGGGTTTTGTAAGGATCTAGGATCGAACTCAGAAAAGAGAATTGTAATTGAATGATCACCTGGCTACAACATGAGGCTATATATAGGCTCGACATAAGGCCGAGTAACCAGGTGTTACACGAAGGTTCTGAGGGTCCCGAAGCGTCCCGAACAGATCCTTCCCGAATTCGGTAGAAGGCAATTTGGTGTCAACCGAAAAGCCAGAATTCGGTGCACGCAACCTAGCTCGGTGCTATAACTATAATAAAATCTAGGAAAGCACCTAGCCTAGGAAATCAAACAATTCATGCATGCATATAATTATCCTATGCTAGAAATAGCATAATAAAGTAAAGGCAAGCTAATATAGCTGGCATAAGCTGTCGTACTCTCACACGTCACCCCCTCAAAGCTGAGTGGCGTGAGATACACCCTGCTTGACAAGATGGTCCTTGAGAGCACGGCGTGCGTTGCCCATATCAGCTTCTGCAACCTAGCTGTCCTCAGTGGGGTCATATCCCTTCCACCGTATCAGGAACTCGAGGGCCTTACCGCCGCGGCGCCGATGAGAGAGGACGGGCGTTCCACTTCATACTCAGGTTCATCCTGGATGAGAACAGGTGGTGGAGGCGGTAGCTGCCGTCCCTGGAACTGTTGTTTGGGATCCTTGTAGGGTTTCAGTAGCTGGACATGGAAAGCATTGTGAAGCTTCCACGTATCTGGTAAGCGCAAGCGGAATGTAACTGGTGTCACCTGTGCCTCAACAAGACAAGGACCACAGAAGCAAGGCCGGAGTTTGGATGGAAGGTGAGACAGGTTCAAGTTGCGCGTGTCAAGAAGTACCTGATCTCCGACTGCTACTAAGTGATCTTGTCGCTGACGATCGGCATATTGCTTCTGGGAGGTCTGCATCATGGTGAGACATCGCTGAGTCTTCTCCCTTAGCTGCTGCATGGTGGTGACGAAGTCATGTGCG